GGGCCCCCCCCCCCCCCGTATAAAACTTTCTTGAGTACACCTCTCCCCCACCCCCCGGCTGGCTGGAAAGCTGAGAAAGGCGTCCTGCTGCGCTCTAAGGCTAAGCTCTGTGGATGGCTAAGTCAAATCCTGCATTTCGACTCTCTCACAGTAGACTGCAAGCGGTCTCTTACTTTTCTTTTTTAGTCATGGTAGATCGCGAGCGGGGTAATTCGCGCCTTTAATTTGCATGTTTCGTCCGCCGCTTGTACATTTATGTGGCTCTGAGGAAAGAATGACGCTCGGTCTTCTGTCACAGACAACGTAGTAGTTAAAGACCACCTTAATTTTTTCAAAAGTGATCTCATTTCTCTGAGACTCTCTTGTAAGACATTGTAACGGCTATTATATTCAACCCTCACTAAACATTTTCTATCAAATTAAATCATTATTATTATTATTTTATTTTTCTGTGACAATTCGCACTTAATAATGGTGATAAGACTGACAGGATTCATTTGATTATTCTGTTCTTATTTTAGGCTAATTGCCCGGGGGCGATACTTCCTTATAAGAGGCTAATGGGGATGTGCCGCTGGATGGGGTCGCATTTTCACGACTGGATTGACTATAATTGATAATTGGATCGCATTTTCTATAGAGTTACTAGATTGGGGTTGCACATTTTCTAATTTTTGGAGTAAGATAGTTCTTCAGATTTATGGTTAGCAAACGTACCAGAATGTTTCTACTGTAGGTGAAAAGTAAAGGGTTATTTATTCAATATAAGGTAGATACATAAATAAAAAGTGACTAAGTTGGGATCGTTAAAATTACATATTTGCATAAAAGTGACTAAGATATTGACATTAAAATAAAACAGCGATAAATGTATAGAAAGGTCTATTCGGTCTTGAATCATACAATCGATCCGCCTTATTGATGGATCACACAACGTCTGGACAACGGACCCCCTGATCACACTTTAAGTCTTCTATGACTAGAGTTTTTTAATCAGTGTAAGAATAATTCAGCGATGCAGATGCAGGGCAGTAAAACATCATTTTAGAAACGATGAACTGACATACCTATTTACTGACCCTTTAGCTGGGTCAATTAATAGTTATGGGATAAAGGACTACCTGGGAGTCCTGCAATCACTAGTTCATTGTGATTTGAGTTCAGCTATCCCTGTACAGTCGCAATAACGAAATTTCAAATTACTGTTACAAATTTGAGAACTCTTAAAATAATTATTTTTCACCAACACGTCATAGATACTTGACGTCAAGTGACTTCCTATTCCAATCATTTTGTGAAAAAAAAAATGAAGGATAAAACAAGTTCATGCTATACCATAGCACTTCAATTTTCCAAGAGTTTAGTAGCCTTTTTCTTTGGGCCCACCGACATCACCGATATAGAGCTGTATTACTGGAAGAGTTGTCTTGTCAGTGAGCAAACCGCTGTCTTCACGCCATACATAGTCATCCTTATCACAGTTACAGCCAAACCTGGAGTCTGCGCATGAGTTGGTCATCCCGCATGCGCACTTGCCACTACCAGGCCATGCTCCACCCCAGTACGTCATCTTAGCAGAATCACGTGACACCCACCATGAAGTTGGATTGCGAAAGTATAAACCCGAGTCATAACACTCGTACTTAATAAACTGCTCACAGTGTAAGGAGACACTGGTGAGACCGGCCAACTGAGACAGACTCGCTCCTGTATAGTGAATATCACGAAGACGGTTCTGACTAGGCACATATGTCCTGCTCTCACTGTCGTGACTGATGACTGTTACGCCGATTCCATTCTTGTCACCACTTGAGGAGGTCGGATTCTAAAGCGCAAAGGGGAGAATATCATTAGTTGAGCCGCGACAGATACTGATCCCAGAATATTTTGTGCTCTGCACACATATGTTCCACCGTCGCTCTTCGTCACTTTGCAGATTGTCAAAGCTCCTTTTACCACGGAGGTTCTTTCTTTGTCAAACTCTCAACGGCCTTTGACCACGTGACCTTGGGTTGTGGTTGACCAGAAGCAATGGAGAAGATTGTCACATTTTGCCCCTCTTCCGCCATTAGTCGGCTAGGTGACAAACGTAATTGAGGATGAACTGGATAAAAAAAAAGAAAAAAAGGATCAATTTAAGTATCTGGGAAACTGCCCACCTACCCCTCCCCTAAGCTAACATTAAGACTTAATTGTTACTTTGGGTAAAATAATGGCTTAGGGGAGGGGTAGGTGGGCAGTTTCCCAGAAACCTAAATTGCCCAAAAAAAGACAAACGAAAAGTAATCGTGAAAAAAGAAAAGAAAGCTTTCCGAGGAAAAATCATCAATTCTTAAATCAAAGCTGTGGTGTACTTGAAATTTTGAAGAAAACATAACTGCTATGCCTCATTGCTGGGTTCTGTTCCAGCACGATAAAACTAAAATTGGATTTTGACAGACTACATTCAGACTCAAAACCCAGGGCCCGGTTGCATAAAACGTCCGTAACAACTACGGGTACATGTACGTGCACTCGTAACTTAAGTCAGTTGCATGAAATCACTTAAGTGGTCCACTTAGGGAATTCACTCAAGTGGTCGCACTTACGATTTTCGTAATTGTTCACTTAAGTGTCGTTTATGCAACAGAAATTGCGGGTGTTGCATAAAACTTTTTTTACGGGAAAAATAGCACGTAAATTTACGGCACTTATGTGGGTCCAGTATCGTTACTGTTTTTACTAAATTTAACGAGATCTTTTACTGAGAAGTGAAAAAAAGTATTTTTCTTCACGTAATTCGTTCTAATACGCTTTGAAAACCTCTGATGTACACTTTCGTGAAAAAAGAAGACGAACTATCCTTTTCAGTAGATATTGAAGAAAAATAACGTTTGCATGCAAATTTCATTTTTTGAGAGGCTTAAAAATGTTCGAAACGACTTTTAACTTTCTTTACACTCACCGATGGTTAACTTAATTTAAAAAAAGAGTGAGTCAAATTAATAATTAAAAGTACTATAACAAAGTTACTTGAGCCCGTAAGTTACCACGTAAAACAGAAACTTAAGAGAGTGGTAAGTGTGTTCCTTGCAACACCCGTAAGTGTACCCATAACAGATTCGTAAGTGAACTACTTAAGTGAGCACTTAAGTACAGGTTTTATGCAACCGGGCCCAGGCCACTGGTAAATATACTACACAAATTCTAGATATTCAGCTCTTGAACGCTCCAGCTAAATGAAACGTTTTTGTACCTTTAAACAAATTTTGAATTACCCGATACCCACTGAAGATTCATAGAGTTTCTACCTAAGGAAAAGCCTTGATGTTTAAAATTGCTGGTTTAAAGCTCACGTCACGGCGACCATGTTGGTTGACAATAAGAAATCTCAAAAGTGTTTTCCTCCGCTGGGAACTAAACTCTTTTTTCATGCAAATTCTGCAAAAAAAAGAATGGTTTTGCTTCGTCAACTGACTGCCTTATCACCTGCTCGCAAACGAATAATAGTGACAAATCAGATTAGGCTGCTCACACTGAACAATCACTTTTGCTGAATGGTTGACGCATCCCAGCAAATTCTCAGCTCGACAGTTGTACAAGCCCTCGTCGCCAGGTATAAAGTTCTTTAAAATCAGAGCACCACTGGACTCTACCACGTGACGTCCCTCAGGAAGTGATGAATTCACCTTAGACCACGTGACAAGTGGAGTTGGATTACCGTCTGTTGTGCATTTTAAGATGGCTGTCTGACTTTCATTGACTGTGGTTTCAACAGGACGCTGCAGCAGAGATGGAGCCGAGATGGACTGGCCCGGCTCACCTCTTTCGCCTTTCTCACCTGGCGGGCCTCTAGGTCCCGTGGGACCAGGGACACCCGGAACTCCGAGATCTCCTTTTATGCCCATTGGTCCTTGGGGTCCTACTGGTCCATGTTTACCAGGAGGACCCCTTGGACCGGGTCTCCCTGGGGGACCTGGCCTCCCTCGGGTTCCAGGTCTTCCCCGTCGTCCTCTGCTACCTTTTGGTCCAGGGCGGCGGAGCGTTCCTAGTCTTTAGCACAGATTTGATTTTGTTGCAGACGAAGTTCTTCTTTAATAAGAAGTTTTAGTTCAGCCGCTCCTTGAGTCGAATTATTTTGTGCGCTGCTCCCTGATGCCCGCCTTTGTCTTGAAACTGCATCTTTTTGGCCTTGAAGATAAGTTTAAAAAGCCAATTAAACTATTTAAACATTGAAGCTATCTAAGGGTAAATACAAACCCGTCACCTACGCGATTATCAGAGGCACAACGAATAGTGCTGGCCAAGTACAATATAAAAGAACGTATTTAATAATTGTCACGAGAGTAATAATTGTAGAGGATTACAGGTCAACTAACGTATATATTGGTCGAGTTTAGTTAAAAAGGGAGAGGATTACAGTGCCATCTATCATTGTGTTTTTTTTGTTCGCTTACTTTCAACACAGATTTTCTAGAAGAGTTACATTGGAGATCTTGACTGAATGTACTTTTTGCCTACTAGGTGGCGATGCCAGTAAAAAAATTGTAATCATAAACCGTCAAGCCTGCGACGCGACAAACAGTGCTGAGATATTTCTGCTGCCTTTCAGGATCGCTAATACAATTAGAACAGAAGTTAAACTGTGCAGATATAGCCCCACTTACTGAAGAGAATCTTTACCGCATGGCAAACAAGTGTAGAGAACATAACACGTAACAGAACGTTGTTATCTGCCATCACCTTTTAAATTGCTCTCTTTGGTTTCTCGCCAACTTCCACACTCCTGATGAACTTTTCGAATGATTTCTGTTTCCATTTCGTCTCGGAATGTTCCAGAGCTGGAATGTGATATCAATCGACGATGTTCTTGTATTCTGAGTTCCATGTGAAATATTGCGATACAACAAAGAACGGACAAAAGCAAACTTGATGTGGAAAGTAGTCTGTCTAGTTTTCTGTTCTCTGTCTAGTAGTCTGTTTCTTTTCGGACCCCTGAGGTCTCATGTCTTTGCTGTTCTTCGAGTAAGGGTTTAACAAGGGAATGGAAAAGAGTAAGAACCGATAGCGTCGTTAATACCAGTCTTTGAAGACTAATGAAGATAAAGCTCAAGAAAGGTCACATCTCTTTACTGCTCAACTTCCTGTAACCTGAACTCTTCACAGGGAAACTGGAAGTAGCAATGACCCACAGGCTTCAGTGCGAGAGGAAGTTTTGGATTTCTGTAGAGAGGCTTTTCATGCAGGCTTTCATGCGCAGTTTCTGGCTTCGGTCAATTTTTGAAAAGAGACCTTCGCGAAAAGCGGTTTTTTTTATCGCGGCTTTGCCGTTAGTGTCTTCGGCCGAAAGCCGAAGACGTGTCGGCCTGCGGCCGAGGAAGCTCCTCATCGCACGCAAGAAAAAAAAAACTGGTACCCGCGGGAGTAAGTGTATGATTGTCGGACTCTGAAGCAGAAGCTTTGCGATTGGTTTAGTTCTTCTGCTTCTACTTGCGACTCCGACCGAACCTAGTTTTCACTTGATCGTAAGCGACAGAGTCGTAAGCGGAATCAGAACGCTGTTTTCACTAGATCGTTAAAAGTTCTACGCTTCTGATTATTTATCCGACTCCGTCGCCAGCGAAAACCCTCCTTTATTATTGACCATTCCACTTTTGTTTAATGTTCTGTTGCCGTCGCAGAGGTGGTTACTTGACCCCTTTATATAATGGCAGGAATGACGGACCACTTCAAAATAGTTCACGCACTTTATAACCACCTATGTTTTCCAAGGTGTTTTAATCGGGATTTACGGAGATTAGCTTTAACCTGCTGTAAGGCTTATCTGAGTGTTTTCTCGATGATCCTATAAAACAATGGCTATGTTGGCAATATATATGGCCACGTTCTTTAAAAAGCCGTTTTGAGTATAAACCATGAGCATAGAGAGCTTCTTAGAATGCGTCCGCACAAAGAGCACTTTAAACTTACAATGCTAACAAATTATAATCTTAAGTCCTGTTGCTTTTATTGTTTATGGTTTGTATCAATCGAGTGTATTGAGGAAGTTGATTGCTATGAAACTGGGCCATTTTTTTTATAGCGATTTCATCGGTAAACCATTCCCCCCTAAATATATAACTGGCCCTGTTCAGTTCTGTTATTTTATTTAGCGAAATTGATACAAAGCGTTTATTTTTCTCCCTCTCCGTTTTATTTATTTAGTTTTTATTGTTTCATTTTCTTTTTTTTGGAACAAGATCATGAATAAAAGATTTCTTAACAATGTACGCTTAGATTGCACAAACTGATGTTGGGAAATTTGGCTATTTGGGGGGTCTGTGGCACTGTGTTATATCATCACTGTCCTCTTTTTATGAACGTAATCCTTTTTTGTCTTTTTTTCGTCTTTAAAGAAAAGCATCACGAATAAACAATTACTCAAGGGGCCTTTGTCACACTGCGGCCATTTTGTCCCGAGAGACTAAAGGAGCTTTGTTTTTCCTGTCTAGCCTCGCCCCCAAGTTTTTCACTGCGAGGTCGAGGGTGGTAAAACAAAGTTTTTTCAGTCTCTCGGGACAATATGGCCGCCATGTGAATAAGGCCCATGACTCAATATGACAGTTAAGACTGCACATAATTAAAATTTTAAAGCACAGAAGTATCGGAGACATTCCAAGAGTTACTCTCCTAAGATCATAGCAAGGACTAAATCGGCATAAGAGGGAACAAGATTCATTGACAAAAATGCATGATTTAAATATTCGTGTCAATAGTCATATAGGACTTGCTTTTGTCTCTATCTTCTCCTATCTTATCCTCGTTAAAGGCGATTGTGGAAGAAATGGTTGCGAGCGATGATAATGAAAGGTCTGTGATGTCTTATAATCCTGAACTGTCGCACAAGATGGCGATTCTTTCAGTGGTAGCATATGATCAATCTCACCCTCAGCATTGTCTTGATCAATACCTGCCATCAACCAAATTTCAACTTAAGACATTTGTTACAAAGAACTGTGACTTCCTCAATAACAAGTGCTCTGGTTATACAGCGGTTTCGCAGGCTTTGGGAGTGTTGGTCGTCGCGTTTTGCGGAACTAAAAGTACGCGACAACTTATTGATGATTTGCTAGTGATAGCTACTACCCATTGCAAAATTTCCTCAATGGCAAAGTTCAGGCCTATATATTTCAACACGGCCTTTGAAGATTTATGGCAGTGCATGGAGCCGAAAGTGAAAGCTCTCGTTTCAAAAAATCCGTCCTATCAGATCTGGGTTACAGGACATTCTCTTGCTGCTGCCTTAGCGTCCTTGGTGAGTGCATGGCTTGCTTATTACAATATCGCTCCACGTCAAAATAATTATAATCTTTCAGTAAAATCCAACTAGTGGTCTATTATCAATGCTGCGTTCTGATTGGTTGAGCTACTACTAGGCTATATGTTATAGCCCACTAGTAGTGAAAAGCGCGAGCTTTTTGGCGGCAAAAAAGGATTTAAGTCTAGCTTTAACTAGCTAAAAGTTTTTTATTCTCCGATATTTTTGATCAAGTAGTTGGATTTTACTAAAACCCCTAGTAGCGCGGTGTGGCATATAAACAAGTTCCGCCCATTATACTACTACATGACAAATTTCTACAATTTGATTGGCTGAGAAGCAGTGGTATTTCAGCTTAATTTGAAATATCTACATGTGAAAATTACAAACCTTTCGCGAGTAGTAGTATAAACAAATAATAGCATGATTTGTAAGTGATATTTGGCATAAATACCACTCGCAATATTTCAAAATTGTCTCAAATTTCACTCGCCTCACGGCTCGTAAAATTACGTATAACAATTTCGAAATGCCACCCGTGGTATTTATGCGAAATATCATTTCAAGTCATACTATTACCTATACAAATACGGCTGCACTGCAGGCTATGTGATGAAGGAAAATACAGTCCGAAAGAGAAGTTTACGACCGATTGTGGACTAGTAACGGTGCTCCCATTACGGATCTGCGTTTGTCATTTACGGAAACGAAACCGAGTCGATAGGAGTCCAGTTTCCTGGCCTCGGTGCCCTCGATAAAATTAATAGGGGCAGCTAATTTGCAGTCGCCCGTACGTGATAGCTGGAAAATTTCTGCCTTATTGCCACAGTAACACCAGATTAGGACGCGTTCAGACGAACGCGATTATGCTATTTTATGACGAAATTCTATTGAGCGGCCACTTGCCGGTGCTCCGAGGGTGGCCGCTTAATTTAGGTTTAACTGTATTCAAAACATTTCCTGCAGTTGGAGCTCCAAATTCCAGTCTTTTCTCGGAAAGTGTTAAGCCATCTGTTGGCTTTAGAAGTTGCAAACTGATGTAATAAGAACTTTGTACTTTAATAAATATGCTAATCCTAAAGATTCTCGCTCTTTGTTATTAACACAGTTACTTGGTAATATGGGTCTTTGTGTCGAACAATTCAGGGTAATTAGGCTCGTAATTTACCGGGCCCAAAGGGGTGCAAAAATACCAAAACTAATGATGACATCAAACTAATATAGCTACGTATTCTCATTCATCTTTTCTCAAACTTGGTACTCTGTAAGGTAACAAGGCATGATCGTTTTTTGGTCATTTTTTTCACAACAGACGAGTTAAACTTACGAAAGTTCGCCGAATTATTAATCCGTTTACATCACGGCCATCGGCAAACTTTTATAGTTTCTAGATGAGAACCTCAACCCTCTAACATGATCCTCTCCCCCTCCAAGATGAACTCTACCCTCCTCCAACATGAACCTCCCACCTCCAACATGAACCTCTCCCACTCCAATAAGAACCTCCCGTCCTGCAACATGAACCTCTCCCCCATCCAACATGAACCTCCACCCTCCAACATGAACCTTCCCTCCTGCAACATAAACCTGCCCTCTTCAAACACGAACCGCTCCCCCTCAAACCTGAACCTCCCCTCCTCCAACATGAACCTCTCGCCCTCCAACATGAACCTCCCCACTCCATCATGAACCTCCCCCCTCCAAAATGAACCTCTCCCCCTCCAAGATGAACCCTACCCTCCTCCAAAATGAGCTTCTCCCGATCTAACATGAACCTCCTCTCCTCCATCATGAACCTCCCTTCCTCCATCATGAACCTCTCCCCATCAAACGTGAACCTGCCCCCCAACATGAACCTCCCCTCCTCCAACATAAACCTCCCTTCCTCCATCATGAACCTCCCCTCTCCAACATGAACGTCTCCCCATCAAACGTGAACCTCCCCCCC